CATTGCTTCATCAAAGTTTAGGCTAGTATAGGAGCTGCGTGATCGTAGTTTGGGCGTCGAGCGCCGGTGGGACGAAGAGACATCAGATACTTTGTTGATGGTAGCAAGAGAGGGCTGTCATTGGCAATTGAGTTCGTTGCTTTGGCTTTCCTCCAGTGTCATACTGGTGCATTTCTGCTTTCCGGATAGCTCACAACTATCTGGCTTACAATCTGATCTTGCAGTCATTTCTCTCTTGCTCATTTTCCTTGCATTATGATCCATGGCAATAAAATGGTTGCGGGACAAGGAACTGGATTGCCTACCTCTGGAAGCCCCACAGTCTCAAGATGATTCCTGTCAGAATACCAACGTAATAACCCCTGCCATGCAACAAGCCAGAAAGACAAAAACACTGATTTAAAAAATATCCAATTCTTTCCACACTTCTTCACTCTCCCGCCAAGCCACATCCACAGAGTCGCAAGAGTTTTCTCAAGCAGCCTTCTTGCATGTGGCCTATGGTTCTGCTCGTTTCAGACATGCATGCTCCTAGAGTCCTTTATTGTTTTCAATCCCATCCTGCGCCATCGCTTCCAAATTTAAATGGCAGTCAACGGGCTTAGCTCAGTTGGTACACCCATGAACTGGTCAAATACAGACCCAAGATGAACAGAGAAAACTAATTCTGAATGGGGCAGGTCAGTTCAATGATGCCAACGAGAGAGAGAGAGAGAGAGAGAGAGAGAGAGAGAGAGAGAGAGAGAGAGAGAGAGACATATATATATATACATATATACATATATATTGTCACATAACTATGAACTAAAAGAGCGCATACAGAGAGAGAGAGAGAGAGAGACATATATATATACATATAATATACATATATATTGTCACATAACTATGAATTAAAAGAGCGCATACACAGAGAGAGAGAGAGAGAGAGAGAGAGAGAGAGAGAGAGAGAGAGAGAGAGAGATCCTCACATCGAATAGCAGCATCACGGAGGGTACCCGTGATGCCAAAATGATACAGAGAAGACTAGTAACACCCCTGCATAAGGCTTATATGGACTTCAGTTAAAAAAAAAAAAAAAAAAAGCACTGAGAGACAGCGCCATGTGGGGTCATGCCCCTGAGCAAGGATGACACCCACAAGTTGCGCAGCAGCCAGTTCTTTAACTACAACATGAACTGTTTTAAGCACGGACGGCTTTGCTCATCGCAAATTCTTTTCTTGGACCGCCCGGCCAACCGGTAGGCACCAGTCACCTTGCCTGCACCCAGGATAGGACCAGCGGCTTTGCTCATCGCAGATTGTTTTTTTGGACTGCCTCGCGAACCGGTAGGCGGCAGCCACCTTGCCTGGACCCAGGATAGGACCGATCTTTTTCCCTTTGGATGTCGGGGTCTTGCATTACGGGACACCGCACCTTTGATTCAAATAGTTATTACAGTATAGAGAAAGGCAGCCTGGACATCTGAATGCTATCCGAACCCCGAGTCGATCTGAATCCAAATGTGTCTCGGCTCATGTCCGGGCCCCGTTCCAGCGTGGTTACATTTAGCAACCTCTGGCAGAACGGGTACTTCTTCATCAGTACTACTCACATGAATCTTTGGTTTAATACCAGACCATTTGTTGTACTTGTACATAATTGCTTGTGGTATTTTTGATTTAGAAGGTCTCATTAGAATCAAGATTAGAGATGTAAGACCAATGCCACACAGCGGATGTTGTCCCACTAAAATGGAGCAGCCACACAGCGGATGTTGTCCCACTAAAATGGAGCAAATACATGCTTCTTCCCCAATCTTTTCCGGACAACATGGATTCCATGACCTCTTTCATTTGGGAGCATAGAGGAGGGCAATGTTTACATGCATCCACTTAGACCGTGCCCATACCAGAGCCCTACAAACTGCTGGCCATGGTCACACCCAGTTGCACCCAGCTGTAGCCGACAAATGGAGGCAGGTCTTGGTAAGCCCCATGTTGCACTGGGGCAGGTGTGGCCGAGGTGATGAGAGGATGGCCCTGGGATGCTTTGTGGCCAGTTGCATGGACAGAAATAGGGCAGCTGTGGGAGGCCTCTAGAAACAGCAACAATGTAATGATCTGCAAAAACACAGACTGAGAACACTGCTGATTTCTGAGTTTTGCTGCACATTCGCTGCTCGAATGTGTGCTGTGCTGAGATTCCCACTTTCTGCCGAGATTTCTAAGTCTGTGTGTGTGCGTGGCTGCTGGATTCTGTGTGCCTGTCTGAGTGCATGGTTGCCTGAGTGTGGGTGACCCACCAGCGTACTCGTTTGTTTGGGAGGCCCTCAGGGCTGGTACTTACCTGTGGCCGTGACTTCGACGATTGCAGCGGGCGACACTCAAGTAGCGGTACTGTCACATACCGTAAAGGTGCAGACCAGAACAAGAACCGACCTCTCTCACATAGTACAAGATAGCACAGCGGAAGGCTTAAATACAAATGATCCGAACAATCAATGTTGCAATGCAGCCCAAACATACATCATCATCATTCCATGGTGTGAAGGGGCCTGGCGCTCAAACAGGAAGAATGTGCCAGTCCCCAACCATACACATACGAAGAAGAGGGGGGTTAGACGAAGAAGAGGGGAAGTTGGGAATGTCGTCAACACCAAGTCTTCGGCACAGGTCCCAAATAATCCCTCGTCAAATGTCTGAATCCCAATGTCGAGTATGGATCCAATGTCGTCAAGTCCCAAAGCCACCAATCTCTCTCTCTCGTACTGAGAAGATAGGTAGCGAGACGGTGAGGGAGTGATGGTGGACGTAGAAGAGGAAGAAGAAGAACTCTCTCTCTCTCTCTCTCTCTCTCTCTCTCTCTCTCTCTCTCTCTCTCTCTCTCTCTCTCTCTCTC